CCACGGGGGTGTGAACTGCCCTGAAATTTCAGTGCAGTCTAGTATGTGTTGCTCTCGGCAAGTACCTAGTGCGGAGGAGATTATTAAAGACCTTTTTTATGATTATTTTTGGAAGATGTCGGAAGCATTCAGCGCAGACAGGGGGAGCCTGAACCAGGCCTCCTGACCCGCCCTACACTTCCCCATCCCGCTCTGCCCCCGAAGCTGGCCTCCGAGGACCACCTCAGTCCGGGTTCACACAGGGTGTGGACTGGAGGGCAGAGGCAGGAGGGTGCAGGGCCCCCACAGCCCCCGCTGCTCTTGGCCAGTGGTCTGTTTTCCTCCGCCACAGCCACAGCCTGCTCTCCCTGGCGCATGACCACCCTTCTTGGGTCCCCTGCCCACACCTTTGGAAAGTCCCTTTATTGAAGAGTGTGTCTGCCTCCTGCTGGGCCCCCTCCACTCCCTGGACTCCTCTGAAGCACCCCCTCCCCTCTGCTGGACTGTGAGCCCTGGGGGCAGGGACCACGAGGTGCACCAGCACTGGGCGCCATTAGTGCTTCCTGAATGAACCAAGGAACAAATGAATGAATGAGCAAACGGATGGCTGGCGACTGACCCATCAGCATCTGCACAGGAAGGAGACAGAAACCTCTCAATGCTCCTCACACTTTTCAAATGGCTGACGCTTTGCCAGAACCGGAGCGCCCACCACACCCACCGCAGGGCAAACTCCATCTCTCGGGGGAGCCTGGAAGGCCACCCAGCGAATTACGGCATTTGTGAGGGCCTTACGAGGTTCCTTACGAGGCCCGCTGAGAGCAGAGGACAGCCTCTGTCGGTTATGAAGTTAACATATCCAGCCAGTGTCACCAGATGGCCTGCTCTGCACCTCCCCACCCGCCAGGAGGACCACACTGCCATTTATCACCCTTTTTTGAGCCGGGGCCTGAATTTTGTCCTTCTCTGAATCTCCCAACAATTGAAGAGAAGAGGGTTCTTAGAAGCCTAGAGAGGTTAATCCATGTGCCCAAAGCCACAAACCCCGTGCTGGACAGGCACACAGGGGAACAGACACGTGGGCCACGGGCTGAATCAAGAGCAAAGCAGGAGGAGCTGCAAGGCACGGGGATGGAGCCAGGAGGAGGGAGCACTCCTTCTGCCAGAGGGGAGCACTGCAGACTGCACAGAGCGGCCAAGAGGGCAAATGAGAGCTGGCCAGGTGGGGGGGCTCCCCTGAGAAAGGACAAGAAGGGCAGGGCCTGAGGTCTCAGACCACCTCTGGGGAACAACACGTGTGTGCGAGGCCAGGAGGAGGGGGCTGGGAGAGTATTGTTCCTAGCTCAGCTGACCCATGACTGTGGGACCATTGCCAGGACAGGCAGAGGGGAGTGGGTGGGAGCGGACAAGGGAGTGGGGGGCATGAGACTCCAGGGCAGCCCAGCCCCTTCCCCAGGAGCTCAGAGGCCAGCTGGAGAAGAGCTTGTCCAGGGACCACCTTGTCCTGGAGCCAGCCTAGCAGGGTGCCACGGCCCAGAGTGGGTGAGTGGGGAGCGTTCTCCCTGGTCCTGTGGGGAGGCAATGGGGCTCTGAGACCCAGCGCCAAGCCATGTCTATCAGGACGACCTCTAACTCAAGGGTGAGGCTAGAGAAGGTGCCGAGACCATCAGGGTGGGCCCCTTGGAGGAGACGCCCCAGACCCCCCCACTCCTCACCCCCTCCCTGTCCCCATCCCTGGGTCTCCAGGCTTGGCAGGAGGGGACAAGGAATCAGCTGCTCACCAGAGGCCAGAGGCAGGAGGAGTCGCAGGAGCAGCACCCCCAGGGCCCTGGGCGTCACCATCCTCGGCCAGCCTTGCCCACGCCGGCCGGAGCCCTGCAGCCGTGCGTCCCTCTTGTCCCAGGCTCTGCCGGACCGCTCTGCCCCCCACCCCCACAGCCGCATCGCGGCTTCCTGTGGCCTCTTGCTCACCCTTCCTGCTCCATGGCGCCATCGGTTGGGTTGTGAAAGGGGAGTGGAGAGAACGGGGCAGTGCTCCCGGTCTCACTCCACCCTGGGACCACCTGCCCAGGTGGCCAGACACTGCTGGGACGCTGCTCCCAGGGCCCCACTCGGGTGGGCGCTGCAGGGCTGGGGTCCAGCGGTCACAGATGCCTCCACACCGAGCAGACTCCTGGGGAATGGTGATGAGCGCAGGGTTTGGAGTCAAGCACACTCAGCTCAGACTTCCTCTCACAAGCTGGGGGCCTCTCTGAACCTCAGTTTCCTCCTCTAAAGCAGATCCAGCAATGGGGCTGCCTCCTAGGGCCTGTCTGAGTTTGAGGAGACCTGTAAACATGCCGGGCATACAGCCTGCCCATAGGGATGAGAGTGAAGTTGTGGACAGTGCTCATGCTCCCTCATTGATGCCTGTGGCTTGGACAAGGCCAGGCTCAAGCCCACACCTGCTGAGGGCGTGGGAGAAGAGGAAGAGCTGGTCCTGTGGGTCGCGGTCCGCCCCCACCAGACTGGACAACAAGGGGGGGCAGGATGGTTGGACAGGAGCACGGGCCCTGGGGTGGGTCAGGCCCAGGCTGACGCCTGTCCTGGCTACTTCCTGGCTGGATGAGCTTGTGTGAGCTGACCGCTGCTCCAAGCTTCTCCCGAGGCAAGTGGGGAACTCAGGAGGTGATGCATGTAGAGTTCCTCCGCCAGTGGGTGTGGCCATTATTGTCACTATGGTTTTACCATTAGCAGTATTATGAAATTATTGTCATCATCACCCAGCTGGTCACAGGTGGCCCAGGCGGGAAGTGGGGGCAGCAAACACACATGGGGAGCAGCAAACACACATGGGGAGCAGCGTGAAGATGGGGGAGGTGCTGACCATTCAGGCCCCAACTCTGGGGGCCCCAAGGAAGCCGTGTGCACGAGGCCAGGGTGTTCGTCACGGTCCCGTGGCCACTTTGAGATCACGAGATGAAGGGCGTCCTGCCAAGGAGGAGGTGCATTGTCACCAGCAACACTCCTCAGGCCCCAGGACCAGAACAGACCTTCTCTGCCTTGGGGACCTAATGGGGACTGGCCCAGCCCAGATTGGCATCTACTTTTCTGTCCTCCCACACAGTGTCCAGACAGGAAACAGTCCCCTCTGGGCCCTCCGGGCCTGGGAGGAGGCGGGGAGCGTCGGGGTCACTCCTGGCTTGCGGGCAGCAGGTGGGAATCTGGCGCTGAGCCCCAGGCACTTCCTCTGTGGGGAAGGCTGCAGGGCCGATGGGAGCCACCCGGCCTGCCCCTCCTCCCCACCAGCAGCCTGCCCCAACCTGCCACCTCCCTCCCAGCTGCAGGCCCGGGGAGGTGAGATGGTGGCCGAGGCCTCATGACCTGTGACCTGGGCCCACCACTGGAGAGCCGTCCTGGCACCTGGGCCCTCAGAGGGCCTCACCGGTGCCTGTTGGTGAAGAGCCTGGAGAGCTACAGACCAGAGCCCAGAGCGTTCTGGAGACCCGGAAGGACAGGCCTAGGGGGCTGGGGGAGTGGCAAGGGGGGTTGGGCAGGGCTACCTCTCCTAGGCCCCAAGGGGGCTGGGGACTGGCCTGGAACCTCTTACAGAGCCCTGGGCCCCCAAATTCCAGTGCAGACAGATCTGTAGCTTCCCCTCCTGCCGCCTCCCACCTCCACTTGTGTGAAAGGCTCCAGGTGCGGCTCTGTCTCCAGGGCCAAGGCCTCCAGCCCTCTGGCCACTTCAATCCATTCCCCATGCCAAGGGACATCTCCAGACGCAAAACTGCTTGTGTCCTGGTGGGAACAGGTTGCCCAAGGCCCCATAGCCCAGTGACATGCACGATTAGAACCGTCAGGGTCAAGGAGCGCCACAGAGCTGTCAGGTGGGCCATCAAGGGCTTGTCACAAGAAGATGGGACCTGACCTGGGACCCCTCCCCGCTACCTGAGCTGGCCTCGGGGAGGAAAAAAAAACCCCTAGGCATTCACGAGTTCGTCCAAGTGGGAGAATTTGAGGGAGAGCTGTGTGTCTGGGGCGGGGGCTGTGTCAGCTCCTTCCCTCCCCGAGGCTGGGGAGGTGGCCCAGGGGGAGCCAAGAGATGCGGCTCCGAGAAATGCTCTCGCAGAAACCGAGACGTCTGTGAGAGGGGCGCTGGCTGACCCCCGTGAGCTGCCCAATCGGGACCGTGTGGGGGCCACCTTGGGAAGGCTTGCCGTCAGTCCTCAGGAGCTGGAGAAAGGTGGACACAGAGGCCAAGGGAACAAGAGAGACATGCCAAGGTCCCTAAAGATCCCACGTTCATGCCCAAGGTGGCTTCGCACCCCTCCCACCCCTCCAGAGACCCTGCCTGTCCCCAGCCCGCGCCGCCCCCCGAGGGCAAAAAGCTGAGCAACCTGCGGCCACCTGCACGGACTTTCAGACCTGGGCACAAATAGCCGTGCTCACACATGACTGCTCTCGTCACCGAGGGGGACAGAAACCCACCTGAGCCGCTTCACCTGTGTCACGGTACGGGGAGGGGAGATTGACAGAGGAGGCCGGAGGCGGTGACAGGAGAAAAGTCCAGTCACTCCATGCCTGCATCCACCTACTTCACCTGCTCAGTAAACTGGTTACATATGTCACCTGAGCAGCCGAGGACTGAACTCAACCAATTTTTTGGATTAGCCCAATTTTTAAATCAGGGGATTTTGCACTACCACAATTGGGATTCTCGTTTATTGTAGAAAGGCAGGCGGCCTGGTTACACGGGCCCTCACCCGTGCAAGGCAGTGACCGGCCAAAGCTGAGCACAGCTGGCTCCCTCAGCATGGGGCTTATAATCTCTGGTCTGCCACAGACCCCACTGCTCCCCATTGCCTCCCCAACACTGACACCATGCTGCCATTTATCCTCCTCCTTTCTCTATAAAGTTTCCAGCAGATTTCTTTTCACACATGGCCCTCTAATTTATGTTTCCTGATTGGCCCTGAGGTGTTCACATCAGTGACTCTTAATAGAAGCACAGAAGAACGCTCAGAAGGAAATTCCCCCAAATGTTGACATCGGTTTGTTAGCTGATAACAACAGCTGATTTTTATTTTCTTCTCGACACTCTTCTAGTTTTCAAATTCTCTACAACGAACATGTACTTCTTTTTAATATCAAAAGACAAATGAAGCAGTAATTAAAAAGAAAATCCTCCCCATCTTTAAGGATGAGATCTAGATCAAAAGCTGCCTCCTACAGGAAGTCTTCCTGGATCCCAAGCCAGGAATGATGGCTCTCCCAGCCCTGTGTCTGCAGCTCCTGGAGCTCTTGTCTTGTACATGCCTCACACACTAGACTGAGCGCTCACAATGGGCAGTGACCAGGTCTGGCTGTCTGTGTCCAACAGAATTAACTGTGGGGGGCTCCAGCATGCTCACGTCCACCTGCAGTGATTCAGGGATGACCCCTCAGGAGCACGTCAGGCTCTCAGCCAGTGTCACCAGGTGAGGCATGTCTATCTTCAGGGTGCTGCCCATGAAACAGATTTGGCCTGCCACATCCACAGTTCTCGCCACAAGAGGGTTCTGGGAGGGGCCGAGGGGGGACCAGCGGTCATGGCAGTGTGAGCAAGGGAGAGGCCCAGATGCACGGCCGGACCAGCCCAGCCCAGCCCAGAGCGTCTACACTAAGCCTGAGTCAGGGGCAGGCAGAGGCCTGCGCAGTAGATAGAGGTTTACAGCAGGCACCCAGTGGCTCCTGGGAACCTGTACCCAAAATACAGCAGTGGAACTGGGCCCCCAGGCTGTGCGTGGAGGACTGGGGAGGGTGGGGGTGCTGCTGGAGGGCAAGGGCCCGGGGCTCAGAGGTAGGAGAGCTCTGCTCCGGGAGGGGGCTGTCCTCCTCCAGGGGTCTGGCTCCAACGCTCTGCCCCAACCTTCTCCCTGGTACCATCCTTGGGTTAAAATGACAGGGGCTGCAGAGTGTCCTCAAGCGATCACAAGAGACAGACCAGCTATGGCACAGGATGCCCCAGCCTCTAAGATCCGAGGCCTGACCCTGAGGCCGGCGGGCTCCTGACCCCCAGTCGAGAGGGCCGGGCCAGCCACGGTGAGTTAAGACCAGACTTCAGCCCCAGGTTAGGAGGGCTGGGGGACAGTCCCACTCCTGAGCCCCTGTGAGCTGGACCTGAGAGCCGAGTCGCCCCCAGGCTGATTCAGAAGGTCCAGCCTGAGAGTCTGGCCGGCATGCCGACAGCCCCATCCCTCCAAGGTCCTCGGGCTTCTCAAGTCTCCAGCTGACCCGCCACGGGCCGGCCTGGCTGCAGGGGCCACAAGTGCGGTGAGGAGAGGCCGCACCCCTGCTCCTCACGCTGGCGAGCGGCTGGCGGCCTAGATGCGGCTGGACGACGTGCTGCCCGAGCTGATGGGGAGCCTTGCGCTGTCCGAGCTGTTCTTCAGAGGGGAGGGCCCGCCCCGGGCCTGCAGCCGCATGGACCAGTACCAGAGGAAGATGAGGAAGCCTGCGGGCAGGGAGGGCACAGGGCTCAGCGGGCGGGGCAGCCCCCCACCCCCACCCCCAGAGCCACCTCGACTCAGATCTGCCCCCTGCCCTCCTCCCTGCACAGGCGACCGGCACCAGTGTCACCTCAGGAGCACCTACTATGCGCCAGACCCTGTGCAATTCACTGGGTGCCACCTCGCTTCCTGCTCTCCAGGATCCTACGAGGCTGGGCCTAGTCAATGCTATTCTGTTTTACAGACGAGGAAGCCGAGGCCCAGGGAGGAAAGGGGAGCTGGCTGAGCCACAGGCAAACGGCAGTGGTCTGCCTCCAGGGCCCACGTGTTCAAGCACCACGCGATATCGCTCCGCCCAGATCGTAATACTGAGATTTATTAATAGCTCAGCAAATGTGTGTGAGTTTAGGGGCATTTACAATCCTCACCTCATGGGTGAGAAAGCACAGACCCACCTCCCTCACCCCCACTTGGTCACAGGGATGCCGCGCGGGAGGCTGGCCTTGCAGCCCCTGAGTGCCCCTCGGCCTGGCCAGGCCCTCCATGTTTTCCTGCCCATGTCCTCCTCCCTACCCAGCACAGCCAAGAACAGAGGGTGTGTGTGTGTGTGTGTGTGTGTCTGTGTGTGTGTGTGTCTGTGTGTGTCTGTGTGTGTGTGAGAGAGACGGGGTGGGGCGGGGGCAGGTAGAGGCAGGGAGAGCAGGGAGGGACTCTGCTGGCCTCAGGCCAGGCCCCCACGATCCGGCCTCTCTGCTCCTCTGCCCTCCCCTCCGCCCCGCTCCCCCACACGCTGCCCTTTAGCCTCGCTCCTCCTCACTCTTCTTCTAACACACGACCTGTTCCAGCCTCAGGACCTTTGCTCCTACTTCTCCCTCTGCCTGGAGCGCTCCTCCCAGCCCAGGTCTCCTCTGCCTGCAACATGCACATGCATCCCCTGGGCATCTGTGACCACGTGGATCCTGACTCAGCGGGTCTGCGGCGGGCCAGAGTCTGTCTGTTTAACGAGCTCCTGATGATGGTGACGCTGCTGGCCCGAGGAACACACTCAGAGCAAGGAGGCCTTGATCTCTCCCTGGCTGGGTCCTTCTGTTGTCTCCAAATGTCTCATACAGAGAGGTCTCCTTGGCCACTCTCCCCAGGTGTCCCCCACCGAGCCCAGGCTGTCCGTCACACTGCCCACAAGCGCATCCCTCCTCTCCGAGATCCCCTCGGACGGCTGTGTGTTTGCTTGTCACACTCCGTCTTCCTCACTAAAGATGAGCTCTGTGGAACGAGGCCCTCGCCCAACCAGTTCACAACACTAGCCCCAGGGCTTAGCATAGGGCCTGCACATAGTAGGAACTCAATAAAGACTTGCCGACTGCAGCCTGGATGCGCCCATCTTATGAATAGGAAGACTGAGGCCCAGAGAGGGGAGGCCTGCGGGCGGCCTGGATCATCTCTTCCGCAGCCCGTGCAGCCCACCCAGGCCAGGGGCAGGCGGGGCTTCTCCATGCTTACCTTGGAAGGAGGTGATGATGCTGAAGAAGTAAAGCACGACGAGCTGGAAGGTGCCAGAAGCAAAGGAGAAGAAGACCAAGGCCCAGGGCAGGCCGAGGACGAGGCTGAGGCCCAGCAGCGTCAGCACGTGGGGCCACTTCTGGGCGTGGGGGCGCAGCCGCAGGATCTGCACCACCATGGTGCCCAGCATGGCCGCATTGAAGAGGAACACCAGGCTGAAGAGGCCCAGGTTGGTGACGTGGCTGACCAGGGAGTCCCGGATCCAGCACCTGCGGGAAGGGCGAGAGGGCTCAGTGCACGAGCTGCTGGCACAGCTCCTCCCGGGCCTGGGGAGCACCAGGGGAAGCTGAGTCACGGGGAGCCGCTATAAACACCTCTGGCTACGGCATGGGAAAGTCACTCTCCTCAATCTCCTTTATTCCGTCTCTGTGGCCGAGGGAAAGGCCGCCTGGTGCTCACGTGTGTAACACCCCTAACACAGGCCCATCTCCCCCTTCAACAAAGAGCCGCTCGCAGCCTTCAGCCAGCACTTTGTGGTCCCCGTGTTTATTTTCACCATTACTCACTGCTTGTGACAAGTGATGCTTGCTTTCTACTCATAGTATTGATATAATATTTTTTTAAAAATACGTTTAAATTAACAGGTCAGATGATTTAAAGAAAATATGAAGCAAATAATAAAACAGATAGCACAAAGGTGAACCAAAACCCCCACAAGCTCAGGATGTAAAAGATTGAAATCTTCAAAGCACTGAGCAAATGGAGAGAATTCCTGCCAGCCTGTGCTCAGGAGCCCTGGTGCCTAGTCAAGGTTCAAGGGACCCACAGGTAGGTGGCCACTGGCCTGGGCAGTTAGGGGAGGAGCCTGGGTCTCAGCTCCACTCATCCCCAGATGGGCACCTTTGGGCAGCACAGGCGGGCCCCTGCTCTCTCTGGGCCTCCATCTTTCCATCTGTTTGGGGAGACAGCAGAGGACAGCAAAGGAACATAGCAGGGGCTCATGTGCTCCAACCCATACTCCCACTCACAAGTGGGGAAACTGAGGACCCGCTCAAGGTCACCTGGTGAGTGAGTGGCAGATCCAGGCCTTTTCCCATCCTCCCTGACCCTTAGCCCAGTGCTCTGGACACTGCCAGGCCAAAACCCCCAGGGCCCTGGCACCCAGGGGTCTCCTGGTCAGCGTGTCCTGGGCCTGGGCTGCTCTCTGGCCTCTGCCCACTGAGGCCCACATTCCTGCGCCCACTGCACACAGCCACTCACATGGAAGGGTAGATGACACTCTCTGGAGTCCTGTGCACAGCCAGGATGATGGGGCCATAGTTGTTCACGTCCACCAGTGCCACCAACGTCACCAGGAAGATGGGGAAGCCTGTGGGCAGCAAAGCATGGAGTTCCGTCTCCCCAGCTCTGAGCCCCTCCTATGTCCCGCCCTCTGGCAAGACGTCCCCTCAGCCCTCTGCTCCCAGAGCCCACCCAGCACCATCCTCCAGGCTTGGACCCTTCCCTTCCCCACTCCAGTCTGGATTTCCCATGGAGGGGGCCTGTCTCCCCTGACCTCGCCCCCCCCCTCACCATCCCGGCACCCTTAGGAGAGAGGCCTGCAGCTCCCCTGGATGCCACAAGGATAGATGGGAGGAGCAGACGGGACATTGGTGGATGGAGGACAGTTCAAGGCAGGCGTCCAGAGTTCCATCCCCAGGGGAAGTCTGTACTGGACCTTGACCTTGTCTATGAGGTGGAGATTGAGAGCTCCCTGGGTAGGGGGAGTTGCCCACCACCAAACACCTGGGTCTTGACACAGAGCCAGCTCTGAAGGAATTCCATGTCAATCAACAGAGGGAACGAAGGAAGGCGGAATGAGGAACACAGGAGGAGCAGCAAGATGGCGTCAGTGCCACGTGGTTGGTGGGCCTGTGCTCTGTCCAAAGGGACTGGTGGTGGGTGCCCCTGGGCCTCCAGGTCTGACACAAGAGAGATCTGGGCCGTAGGCAAATTGGGTTGTCTTTGGTCAAGAACAAATGCCAGAGCCCTGGGGACTCTGTTACCTGAGGTTCAGGGGGATCCACAGGCAGGGCCACTGCCAGCCTGGGAGAACTAGGTGAGTGGAGGTCTGGATTACAGCCCCACTCATCCCCCAACTGGGTGCCTTTGAGCAGTGCACAACCTGCACATCCATACATGGTGGCTCCATCTGCAAACCCTCCTTTTAAAGGAGTGAGCAATGTGGAGGATATGTGTTTCTTGGGGAGACGGCTCACCACTCATCTTCCTAAAAGGGACCTTGCCTCAGCCAAGGTTAGGAAGCCCTGAGGATGGGTGGGTGAAGGGGGCCGTGAGGAACAGAGAGGTAGGTGGAGAAGCAGAACCAGGCGCCTGTGTTTTCCAAAAGCCAAGTGGACGGGGCAGGTCTGGGGGGCCCACCAACGTCCTCCGCCAACTCACCCCAGCCCACAATGCTCAGCTTGAGCAGGTAGCCAGGGACATAGGTGCCGAAGACCTCGACCACCAGCCGGTAGAGGTTGTAGCCCTCCAGGCCCATCCAGGAGAGGCAGGCAAGCAGGGAGAAGTGCAGGAAGATGGCGCTGGCACAGCAGCCAGCCTCAGAGCCCGCCAGGGCCACTGGCTCGCTGAGCAGGAAGCTCACATCCAGCAGGAAGACGGCCAGCAGCAGGTTCATGTGCACCTTGATGGTGTAATCCCGGGTCTTCCTCCTGCGCGGGGTTGGAGGGGTCACCCTTGGGGCTGGGGTGGGAAGGGGAAGGTGCCCGCTCCTCCTCCTCCTGGCAGCTTTCCCAGACCACACACACACACACACACACACACTCCCTATCTTACCCCTGTGGCTGCCGCCAGGCCATTCCCCGCTTACCCCTGTACGCTGACTGTGTGCCCAGCACCACGGGCTCCGGGCCCGTGTGCGCATCTAACAACAGCCTTAGCCAGACAGAGTGAGGAAGACAAGCCAGCCGCTACCATCAGCCAGACGCTCCCAAAGTCAGAGGAAAGACGGGGTGTGTTGCTGTTTTGGAGAACCCATGCCACCACGCTCTGCGTCCGCCTGTCTGTCTGCACACCTGTGTGTCTGTGAGTCTGTGAGCATAGGGCGCATGTGTCCGTCTGTCTCCAGGGTTGCAAGTCTGTGTGTGCACATCGCAGCCCCACCCCCATCCCGGGACTCCACGTGGTCCAGGGCCCTGTCGGCCTTTCCTGCCCAGCCCCCCACGCCACCGCCATGCTCAGCCTGGGCCCACCCCCTGCCCGTCCCAGAGGGCGCAGCGGAACACCCAGGCCCCAGCGTCACTGTCTGGGATGTGCGCCCGCCCTGCCCCTAACTTGGGCTGGGGCCTGGGTGGGTGAGGGTCACACTGATGCAAAGTGTCTGGCACAGACAAGATGCTCAGGCCCTAAGGGTTCCGGTCCCCGTGTCCTTGGGCACTTCTGTGATCAGTGGGGACATGTCAGGGGTGAAGAAGCGCCTGTCCCCAGCCCCCCACTGAGCCTGCCGGCTGTCGCCCCTCACCACCTGCTCCAGCCCTACCATGCGCACAGCTGCGGGCACCACAACACAACTGCCTATGCACACGGCTCCCCTCCTCCCAGGGGAGGACCGTGAGCACCCACGGGGTGTCCCACTGAACCAAGGGTGTCTCCCCTCCATATGGGAGAAGCCTCCATGGGGGGAGACGTCAAGCTCCAACACCTGCAGGGGCCAGGCCTCAAAGCAGACACCAGAGCCCCGAAGGCTAGTGAGGATCGTCCACAGCAGCCACCACTGCTCAGCCCCAGAAGCTGGGGCCCGTGGACCTGGAGCCAGCCTGCCTGGGTTCAAGCCTGCCTTTGCCATTTCCTTGCTGTGTGCCCTCGGGCAAGTCTCTTACCCTCTCTGAGCACTCTTTCCCAGGGGCCTTGGGAGGATGAACCAAGTTGATACGTGTAAAGCACTTAGAACAGTGCGGGGCACGTGGGAGGCTCGAGGTAAGCATAACCGTTACCACCATCACCATCGTATCACCACGCGCCCCCAGCGGGGTCACCGCTGGTCATCCAAAGGCAGAAATCTAGATTTTTATGCCGATTGTCCCGATTTCCAAGGTTGGCAGTTAATCAAATCTGTAAACGTCACGTTCTCCAAATGCCGCAGACCCGAGGAGGAGACGCGGCCCCGAGGGTCAGCCGGCCGTGCCTCCAGGCCTCCCGCCACCACACCCACCGCAGGGGCAGCCGGGCCAGCCTCCAGGGCGGGCTCCTCCGTGCTGCCCTCTTCCCGCACCCTCCCCGGCCCACCTGGAGCAGAGGTAGGCGGCGATGGTGAGGGTACAGGCCAGCGCGGAGATGACACAGCCCACGTAGGAGAGGAGGGTCAGGTAGTGCTCGTGCATGGGGTCCACCTCCACGGAGGCCACCTGGGTCCACGAGACAGAGCAGGGCTGGCCTCCGCGTCCCCAGCTCGACACGGGGGGTCCCCCAGATGAAGCCACACCCCCCAAACAGAGCAGAATGTGGCCCCATGGGTGGATTTTTCTGGGGGGCTCTGTGGCCTCCACCACACTCTTAAATGGGTCCCTGACCCACAAACGTCAAGAACCTCCCCCCCCGAGACTCCCTTTTCTGTCCCGGCACTAATGATTTGTCTGTGACGTCCAACACCGGAACGGGGTTCCTGTAAAGGAGTGAGCTCCCCACCCCAGGGAGAGCTGGAAGGCCATCCGGCCCTCAGATGCCGGTGTCCTAAGATTCTGGGAGAACGAACCTAGGATACCAAGCTCCTGAGAGCTTGGGGCACTGAAGTGCACTGCAAGGGCTCCATGCTGGGCCTCGGCATCCCCCAGAGGAACAGCCTCCTGGCCCCACCCCAGCCTGTGGAGTCAGGATCCTAGGCTCGGGCCAGGAATCGGTATGTTTATCAGGCACCCAAAGTTGGGAATAAAGACCAAGGCCTTTAGAGACCAGTGCTTTTACTTCCTAGCTGTGTGACCCTGGGCAAATTGCTGAACCTCTCTGAGCTTCAGTTTCCTTATCTATGAAATAGGACAACAGAAGCCGCCTCGGGGGTTGCTGGGAGGAATGACTGACATATATGTGAGAGCGGCTGGCCCACAGCAAGCACTCGGCCTGTGGTGCGGCTGCAGGGCAGGAGGCCCCTCACCATCAGCACTGCAAAGTAGGTCAGGTGGTTGCAGAGGCAGGACGTCTCTGTCTCTCTCCTGATGGTCTCACACCCAGCGTCGCTCCAGCTCCCCGGGCTGCGCACTGAGGAGGGGACAGCATGGGGTTCTGATAAGCCCAGGCCCCCAGGACCCACTGTGCTCCCAAATGCATGACTGTATGACTCTTCCAGGCCTCTGCTCCATCTGGCAGATCCCTAGTCTGCCATCACTTTCTCCAGGAAGCCCTCCCTGATTGACCCCATCTCCCCCACCCTCCAGGACCACCTCTCTCCTCCAGACACCTGCCCAGCTCAGCAACCCCTCCACACTCACGTGTCAGGTCTTCAACCCAGAAGACACACTGCAGAGTCACGTTCTTCTGTAGGGACGAGAGGGAAGGAGAGCGGATCCCATTTGTCACAGCCAATGGTTCAGAAGGGAGGCCTTGGACAGGCTCGTCCCCTTGGCTGGTCTGCTAACACTCACCGGCTGCGGCTGGTGCTGGAAGGTGAGCACCACGGGCTCTGAGAGGTTGGCCACTTTGGTGTTCTCCACCATGATACCCAAGACCTTCTCACCTAAGACTTGGCTGGAATTCTTGTCCTGGATATACAGGGTGGCGGGAGAGAGTAGGGAGGGGGCTCAGGGCTGGAAAGAAAGACCCAGGGGTCCCCAAGGCTCGCTAGACTCCTGTTTCTCCCTAGCACACCACTTTGAGATGCTGAGCCGCCCTCTGGAAACAATTCTTGCACATGTAGTCATTTACACTGTAGTAAGAGCAACAGCCTTCAGACCTCTCCTGGGGAGATTTGCAGGTTGCAGTCCAATTTCTGACTTTACAGGAAAGGCTCTGACTCCTGGAAGAGGTGGCTTGGCTCCACGCCTCCTTCCATCCCTCCTTCCCCACGGCTTTCCCCAGGGGAGAGCATGAGGGTGAGGGCCCACACCTGGAACAGGGCTTGACTGCTGAAATCCACCAGGAGGAGTCTCTTCTCGGCCTGCCCCCTCCGGCCTTTGGTCTGGAAGAGCGCGCGGGGCAGCAGCACCGAGTACTCCAGGATGTCGCCCCGCTCCTCCTGCAGACCAGGGTCCCACTGGGGCTCAGGCAGAGGTGGACCCCCAGCTCCCCTCCACATCCCCACCCCACACCTTCCTGCATGCTGCCATCTCTCAGCCCACCTCCTTCAGGAGCCGAGCCTGGCTCACAATAACCCTTCTCGCCCCTCCTTTCCCAGGCACCAGTGCCGGCTGGGGAGCCTTGTGGTTAGAGCCCAGGGCCCGGGGTGAACGGGTGTTCTGTGGTCCGGGCCACCTCTGCCTACAGCTTCCTGGTGTTGGGGGATGGGGGCGGTGCAGGTGGCTTCCCGCTAACCAGGTCCCCTGGAGGGGCAGTCTCAGGACCGAGGTGCATGCACAGCATTCTGGGGTTGCTCTTCTGTCCACACGGTGTGCCGCAGGGGCCCTGGCGCAGGGAGCGGTCCTGCCCCGCCTCTGTCCCCACCACCATCCAGGAAGGTCCTCAGTGCTGTGGGGCAACCCCACGGGCATTCCCTGGGCCAAGGCCCTCCTCCGGGGCACACGCCTGGTTCCTGGAGGCCCGGGGGAGGGGCGTGCTCACAGCCCCCGCATCTGCTTCCTGTCCTGGCCGGCCCAGACCCTGACCCCTGACCTCCTGGCGGGCGTGGATGTGTAGGTCCTGGAGGCCGGCCGTGGGCTGGAGCTTCCACACCGTGGCGTTGACCCGATCCTCTTCGAAGGACGCCGTGTGCCCCGTGAACCTCACCGAGGCCAGCTTCGACTCCAGGCTCTGCAGCCTCCTGGCAGGGCGAGGGGGCGGGTGAGGGCCGGGAAGGCAGAGGGGCGGGCAGGGAGGGAGAGTCAGGTACCCAGGAGAGAGGGAGGAGAGAGGGGAAGGAGGGTCAGGGCGATAGGGGACACAGCCGGTGAGTGAGGGACAGAGAGAGTGAGCTGCGGGGGACAGAGGAAGCTGGAGGAAGCAGACAGGGTGGGGCTCTCCTGGGACTCAGCCGCGGGTCCTGGGCCCAGGTCTGCCTGGACCGAGCCCTCCGTGGCCATGGAGCAGCCCTAACCATCTCTGGGCCTCAGTCTGCTGAGCTCTAAAGTGGGCTGACCGCTTCCCCTTTACTGGGGGGCCATCCTGGGACAGGGCTGTGATGTTTCTTCTTACAACGTTCTCATAGGGCAGGCAAGGGGCTTGGCCTGCAGGGCGGCCTCTTGGCTCCTCCAGGAGGAGATGGGACGATGAGAAGGTTCCAGCCCCAGGAGAGGCCCCCACCGGCCCCCACCCCAGGCCCAACCCGGCCAGGCCCGGGGGCCCCCTCCTGGCCCCCTGCACTCACTGGTGGGCAGGGGTGAGTGAGGGCCTCCTCCCCATCTTCTGTGGGTGCTGCAGAAGCTGGCTGAGCAGCTGGAGCTCTCTCTTCAGGTCACACATGTCCACGGAGGCCTCGTGAGAGGCCTTCTGGGGAGGGTCTGGGGGGCACAGACGGACCTGCCTCAGGCTGTGCTCCCATTTAATCCTCCTGCAACTCTGGAAGCTTCTATCCCCATGTTACAGGAGAGGAAACCGAGGATCCGAGAGGTGGGGTGGATCCCCCCATGGTCACTCAGAGATGAGGCCAGCCAGATGGGGGCTCTGCCCCATGGGACCCTCCACAGCTCCAGCCCCCCCAGGGCCGGGTGGGATGCACTGACCCAGCCCCCTTCTGGCCACACACGGAGCTGGGAGCGCCGTTCCAGGGCCAGGAGACACGGGGGGATGGGGGGCCTGTGTGGTGCCTCTGGGGACTCCATGCCACCAGCCGGCCCCTCCCCAGGCTCCAGGCCCTCCGCCGTGTCGCCTGCACCCCAGGGCCGCAGACTCAGGTGTGTCCAGTGGTCAGAAGGGGCGGAGACGAGGCAGGCAGACGGGGACAGAGACATGTGGGGAGGAGGCACGCCTGCACCATCAAGGCAGGCAGGCCCTGGGTAGCCACATCTGAATTTATGAGGCAGAAAGCCTGATTTTTAGGCGATTTGAAAACTCTGGCTCATGTTTTTAAAAAAACGCTCTAGGGGCCAAAGACTACCAGGCCGGAAATGTGCCCAGCTGTGCCTGACTTTGCCCTGAACCTGCCCGGCTGGGGCCGAATCCCAGCCTGGGGGTGGGGGCCTGTCGGCTTCACGGGACAGCCTCTGGGCCGGGAGCCAGGTCTGCCCTGCCATCCCCAGCGCCATCACCGTCCTGGAGCTGCTGACATCGTCAAAGGGCTGTGTCCCCCCGACCCCACCCCTGGGAGCCCCGCCCCCAACCCCAGATGCCCGGAAGGAGTGAGAACCAGGTAAACCAAGACCCCAGGAGGCCTGCAGCTCCCTCTGGCCCCCTGTCCTCCCTCAACGCCACAGGAGGCGGCGGCCACACCACACCAGTCACACTGCAGCAGAACACACAGCCTCCACACGTCAGAGGCTGCCTCGTGCCTCCCTGACCTGCAACGTCTCCTGCTCCCACCGACCCCAAACGCCAATCAGCTGCTGGGTGTAAATCCTGGCTCCCTCACTTAGGAGCTGTGCAGCTTTGTGACCCTCTGTGCCTCAGTTTCCTCCTCCGTGAAAGGGGGATGAACAATTGAAGATGATGATGATGAAGCGGAAATTTTCCTCTGGCTCCTGACAGCCTGTCCCGTCTTCCCGTCCTCTCGGCTCCCACCTCTCTCAGGCTTCATCTTTCTTGCCCTGGACCGTCCCTGCAGCCTCTCCACCGGACCTACCCCTCCGCCCTCGGCCCTGCCTTCCCACACACCCTCCTGAAGTGCACCTGGGAGCCCTCAACCCTCCTCAGACACCTCTGATGGCTCCCCACTGCCCGTGCACAATGCCCCAGCTCCGTGACCTCGCTCTCGCACCCCGTCTGCTCTCAAGCCTGCCTCCGGGCCTTTTCCCATGCTGTTCCTTCCACCTGGAAGTCCCTCACCGTGGAAGGAAAAGGTGAAGCCAGCAGCGCTGGGCAGGCTGGTGTTCCAGGGCCTCCACCAGGAGCTGACAGAGGTGGCGAGCAGCGGGGGGCCCTGGGCCCGGCTCTCCTCCTGGGACTGGAAGCACAGAAGGCGGGAGGCCCCGTCGCTCAGTGGGAAGTCCTTCTTGCCGTACTGCAGATGCAGTTTCCCCGCACGGCGGTTCCAGTAGAGGCAGAAGTGGTAAAGGCCCCTGGGCTCCGGGAAATCCTGGGGGTCCGGGGAGACTCCAGGGAAGGGGGCGTGGACCGTGAGGGCCTCCTCGGAGTTCTGGATGGAGATGCGCAGCTCCGGCGTCTCACTGTAACGGAGGCTGCTCCTCTGCGTCTGGTTCCGCTGGCCGCAGAAGCGGAAGTCTTCCCCGGGGCCCCTGCCACGGGCACCTGAGGACGCAGAGACTGCAGATGGGACTCTGGGGTGGGCGCCAGCCAGGGCCATGGGAGGGGGCAGGCCGGGGCCCAGAACACAGGAGCCCAGTGCCTGGGACCCACACACATTTCAAGGGACTATGCCTCAAAGGGTCTACAAAAATGTGAGTCTACCCTGCTCAAAATTACTGATTTCAAAATACGAAAAGAACAAACTCAAAATTAATAATAATTTCAAATGCTAAAAAACCCTTTTAGTAGCAATAAGATATTTAACGAGGCGATGCCTGCCGTAGACAGTTGTGCAGGCTGTGCATGGCTCAAGGATGATCTGACTGCAGAGGTGAGTGGGGCCGAAACCCAGTCCATGTTCCCAGTGTCCCCCAAGCTGTTCACGGTGGGGTTGCATCTGCTGGAAAGAAGGGCTATCTTTTTCTTTTCTCCAAAATACCATCCACTTGCTAAGCTGTGTCTGCAGGCCCATGCCTGCCCGAAGGGTTAGTGGCTTTGCTGGCACCCATCCTAGACACAGGGCCTTTTAACATAAGGCACAACCGTCCCGGGGACCCACAGGAAAGCACACCTTGAACCAGGAAGAGCAGGAACAGCGCTATCTGCAGCAGCGTCTGGGGAGCCATCTTCCTCCCTGAAGTCACCCTGAGGAGCCACTACCTGAAAGAGGCCAGGAGCGTCACCAGGGGCCTGACTGCAGGGCGGTGGGCAGCCCTGCAGAGAGGGAGACCAATGGAGCCCAGATGTGGGACGTGGGGGGCAGGCCAGTGTGGAAACAGCCCGTGGCCCCACCTCTTCCCCTCCCCCCAACTGCCAGAAGCTGAGCATCAAGAGACAGCGCCGTCCGGAGGCCCAAGTTCCAGCCCGAACGCTGCCTCTGCTGGCTGCACGGCCCTGTGTAAGTCACGGAAAACGGGGCTCATCATATGACCTCCCTCTGGACCCGGCAGTGACGGGGTGACCTTGGCTAGAATCTGCTGGGGACAGCTCCTCCCAGGCGTGGAGGAGACAAGGAAAAACGGGGCTCTCTTCCAGGAACCCCGCCGTCATCATCCTTGAGACCTAGCTCGTGGAGGACACCTCCTACAGGAAGCCTTCCCCAACCCCTCTGCATCAGGCCTGGCCTCCCGTGGTTCCCACCATGGGCCAGCGCCTGTCTGTTCGCAGCCCCCAGCCTGTGCAGGATGGTGCACCCCCCGCTCAGCCAGCCTGGGGCTCCTGAGCCATCTCTGTGGATGCTGGTGCCCGGATGCTGATGCCCGGAGGATGCTGGAGGAGGGCGGGGTGGGTGGATCTGGTGGGAAACTGAGCGGCGGGTCGGTGCCCCCACGGCGCCCTCCACCGGCCGAGGGGAACGGTGCTGCCCGTCACAGCCACCAGGGGGAGTCGGTTCCCAGGGCCCGGCAGCTGGGGAGGCCAAGGGACAGCCAGCCAGCCTGTCTGGTGGGGACACCATGCGGCCTGGGGTGGGGAGGCCCGGTGCCCCCAGCCCACGCCTGCCTAAGGGGGCACTTCTGCCCGCCCCTGGCCTCTAGGGGCTCAGCGCTGACCGCCCCACCCCAGCCCTGTGTTAGCCCTCCCTCTGACCTCGGGAAGCGGGTCCATCTTACAGACCAGGAACCTGAGGTCCAGGGGTTAAAAGACTTGCCCGAGTTTACTCCGGAGGCCAGTGGCTCTCCCTTCCCGGGCGAGACTGGGTGCTCTAGAGAGATGCTAGGTGGCTCGGCCCTCTCCACCGCCAGCCTGCCCTGTGACCAGCTGGGTGCTGGCAGACACAGACAGGCAGCCTCATCCTATGCGGAAGTGCATAGGGCCGTGGAGACAGATGCAATCATCAGCCACAAGCCAGACGAAGGGAAGTCTGGCAACCTGGGGGCATATGGGGAGTCTGAGTTTGAGAGAAATCAAGGAGGACTTCCAGGAAGTGGTGGCTTTTGCACGGAATATTTGAGGACAGCGTTAAAGGGAGGGGTAGCCCAGGTGGGAGCTCATTGCCCTCTTCCTGGGCCTGGCCTCGCTGGAACTAACCTGGCCCCCTCAAGCTAGAGCTAGTCTCCTGTGCCCCACCATGCATAATAGAACTCCAATTTCTCAGGCCTCATCAGTCCAATCAGAGGCCATTTGGGCCCATCGTCCTGCCCTGGTGGCACCACAGGTTCCCTTTGAAGAAGGATGTGAAAGTGTTTTAGGGAACGTGACTGTTTCCTAGGGTTTCCTAGGTTTTTTATGGTTTTGCTCTGCATCCCCTCTGAGCATTTTGGCTCCTTTGGAAACTGCCTCCTGCCACCTCAGACCAGCAGAAGGAAACCCAGCATCCGGAGAAAGGAACATGTCCCTCCCGGACCGCCTCAATCCTTCTCCTTTCTACCCGTCCCTGTTGCTATCTACTTCTGACCCCCAATCCAAATGTCACCTCCCGCAGGCAGCCCTACTTGCTGTGACCACCGTTCTATACTTGTGAACTCATAGCTTACAGATCACTTTGAGAATTTGGCCCTAATTCTCCATTTTATGGCGTTTAGATTTGAGGCCCAGAGAGGGCCAATAACTTCCTGACATCACACAGCAAGCAAGGATGGAGCTGGCCAGAACCCACATGTGGCCCGCTCACTTTCAAAGTGAGCCAGCACTGTCGGTAGACAAGGCCCAGGACAGGGCAGAACCGTCCACTTCACAACGGTCCTCCTGGACTGATCTTTGAGAGCAAAGGAAGCAGAGAGAGGGAGTGAGCTCCCCGTCACTGGAGGGGCACCAGCAAGGCTGTACCACTGTGAGGTACCATGGAAGGGATTCAGACACAGACAAGGGGCTGACCGCATGACCCAGACACCTCCTGGCTCATCCCCACTCCACTCTGGCTGTTTGAACACCCATGCCAAGAAGGACAACTCTGTCCCCCTCACCACTCTTGGGACTTGAGGGCGAGGGGCCACCTGGCTTCCTTTAACTCACTCTTATCAGTTGAGAGGACTCTGGAGCCAGACTGCCTGGGTTCAAATCCTGGTTCCTCCACTCACTAGCTGTGTGTCCTGGAACTAGTTGCTCACCCTCTCTGGGCCTCACTTTCCTCATCTTTAAATAGGACTAAAAAGTGAGCCTATTTCAAGGGTCAGTGTGAGCATGAGATGAAACGCTACCTGTAAAGGACTTAGAACAGGGCCACACAAGTGGTAGGCGCCAGAGGTGTCAGCTAACTACCTCTGCATCCTTTCTGACAGCTCGTGCCTGCCCCTACCGGCCTGCCACAGGCCCCACTCCTCCACCTCCCCTCCCACCCTCCCTGCTCCCTTTGTGGCCTCCACGGCCAGCTCAACGTCCAGAGCACCTTGCCGGGAAATTCTTGGAGCATGACAAGAAACTTCCTCTGCGGGACTGACGGCAACGGGCAGAGCGAAGCCCCACCCAGAAAACTTCCCTCCTTGCAGCCCGGACCCGAGGCCGGCCGTGGCACCCCCAGGGACGGGAGAGCCGGACTGGGGACAAGAGCAGGATTCTAGCCCCGGTCGGGCGGGCAGAGGGCCCTGTCCCGCTTGTCCACTGGGCTCTTCCTCCAACTGCCGCCAGCCCGACAGAGAGCCCCTCCCCTGCCCATCTCACGGCACCCCCCCATCCCCTGCTCCCTGTACACACACTGCCACCCCACTCAGAGGGCGCAGTACGTCTCCACAACGGCCCCACGCTCCTGCACCTCCAGCAGGATAGCAGGATGCCCAGTCACCACCCGGGGCCACCACCTGGCCACCCAGGGAGGGGCCGTGCTCTGCAGCCTGAAGCCCGGAACCAGGAGCCCATATATGAACCTCCACACGGACAGGACCTGTCCCTGGTCGGGAGCAGGAGACCCTCAGAGCTGGACAGGCTTCAGCCATCCGGTGCTCTTAGAACCTCCCACCAGCCCTCAGGCAAGACCCTCGGCTAACCTCACACGGCACCTGGCCGGAGCCTGGGCATTACCGAGAGCGGGGCTTTTAGCAACAGCACGATGGTGACAGCAGTAGCACCAGCCACACCCTCCACAGCCTCAAACCCTCAGAGCTGCCCTGTGAGCCTGGCTCTACTGCTGTGCCATTTTCCAGATCGGGAAACTGAGGCAGGGGAAGGACTATCTGTTCCAGGATGACTGTGAGTGGAGACAAGACAAGGAGCTGGGACCCGCTCTAGACATCGTCTTGCCGAGCTGGCACTGGCCAAGGTCTGAGAGATGCATGTTCCCCTGGCTTTGAGACATCCCCAAAGAAAAGGAGAGGAAAATGGGGGGCAAGCCAAGACCCTGGGCAGCTCAGAGATCCCAGCCTGGGAGAGAGGACTTCACTCCCGATCCCTCCAGGGGAGCACCCCACACACACACAGATCCCCTTCCGGAGCAGCCGCCCCTGACCTCAGGCCTTCCGTAAACACACAGAGAACAGAACAGTCCGGCCCAGCTTGACACAATGGGGGCCACCATCACGGGGTCCCCAAGGATCCAGGCCGAGCGGGGTGCAGCCAGGGCTGGCCTAAGCTGGGACTCCCCGGCCCTCCCACACCCAGGACTGGCTGGGCGCAGAAGGGGTTCCAGCTGAGCTCAGGCCGAGCCCATCTTCACCGTGTGGGACGGGGGGAGGGCAGGAGACCGGCAGGCTCACTTTCTCCCCCCGGGCCTGAGTCACTTCCTCTGCCATTCCGTGGAGCCACGAGTCACCGATAGCCCGTCCAGGCTCCTGGAAAACCCATTTCCTCGGAGGATGGAGGTGGAAGTTGAGTGGACAGGCCCCAGGTGGCTCAGGGGTCAGTCACTCCTTCCCGGGCAGGCACCTCTCCAGGAAGATGCCTGGACCTGGTTCTCTCTCCTTCCCGTTACACACAGGGTGGGCCACAAGCTTATCCAGCCCACCTCCAGACGGTCCCCTTGCCTGCAATGCTTCCCTGTCACCGTGACAACCCAGCTCATCTTTTCAGGCTCAGCGAAGACACTCTCTCAGGGATCCTTCCCGAGCTGCTCATCCCCATCTGAATTCACATCTGTGTCCTCGGGGGGCAGGACCACAGCCTGCACTCGACTCTATGTGCCTCTTACCCTGTTGCCACAAGAGTTCACATCAGAGGTGCCCCAACCCGCTGTGGGTCAGAACCACCCAGGGAGGCAGCTAAAATGCAGATTCCCACGCCGCACAGAGGGTAGGGTGCAGCAGGTCTGGGGTAGGGCCGGGGAATGAATCTGGGTTTAGCCAGCATCCCATGGACCGACACTCCGCAGGCTGGGGAGCGCTGGGTGACAGGCCCGGATGACACGTGTGGCCCTGTTTACAAGGAGAGTCAGAGACAGGTGGGGACCGGCCCCAGGTCACTCAGCTGCTAAGTGGTGAAGCAGCGGTGCCCTTCTCCAGCCTCGGCCAGGAGGCGCTGTGCTCCTCTGCGGCTCCCCTGGCGTTAGCAGGGTGCTGGGAACCTGAGGGGCCTCCCCAGGGACAGCCAGGAGCAGGGGGGCCTGGGTGGTGGGACTGGAGGTGGGAAGGAGGGAGCCCCAGGGGGACCCAGGTGTGAGCCTCTCCTGCTCCTGCTGCCCTCAGGGGTTGGGGTGGGCAACATCAAGTGGCTGGCTACCCCCCACCCCGAGCCCTGGGCAGAGGCCCTTAGCAGGGAAAGATTTGGCCCAGGAGAGGGACAACGAGAGGGGTGGG